TTTCCTTTAAACCCCTCAAATTTATCATTTAAAATGTTTTTATCTTTTTCCAATGACAAGTCCAAAATATCCATATCAAATCCATTTTATTAAAATTCCTTAGCACCTTTTTTCATTTTTTTTTAAAGAAATCCTTTTTTGGGGAACCCCATTTTGCCCTCACCCTTTGGGCCTATTTTTTAAAAATTTCCCAAGCCCAAAAAATAAATATAAAAGGTTTAAAAATTGAACTCATGGAAAACCAAATTTTTTAAGCCCCTTTTGCCCATTTTTTTTTTGTTTTTAAATTACTTAAACCAATAGAAATCAGTTTTGTACCAACAAATGAAGTAAGGGTTAATAACACTATAATATATCCCTGAGAATTTAAAATTTTTAACTGTTTTTTTTAGGACAAAATAAACATTTCATTACTTGCTTCTAACAGGGTCACTAATAAGTTTGCACTATGAAAAGAAACTGACCCTAGAAGTAACCCGGTTATTGATAAGTTATCCAAGAAAGCCGGGTCAGGTAGGTCAAACGCCAGGATAGTTAACCACAAAATGTTAAAAATTTGGCGTCATAAAATTCAGAAAACAAACATCCAACATGTATTAATGGCAAAAATCAAATTTTGGGTTAAAAATGTTGAAAGGGAAATTGGAGAGTAACCGGGCCACTATTTCTGTTTACCAAGGATGGGCACAGGTTCCATGACATAGAATGATGCCTTCAAAGAAAACTTATTCTAAGCTACTCCTCTGCTTGAAAGGGTGTTACAGCTATTAAAAATTTGTAAGTAATCACTAAAACTTGTATTATATTTGTTGAGTTAAATAGATAAGCAGGATATAAAGGGGTCTAAAACGTCAGATAAAAAATGGGTTGAGTTATAGAGAATAAAAACCCCTACTGTTTTTTTGATATAAAAATTTTACCCGGGCCCGAGGCTGTTTAGGGGCTAGAAAGGGCGGGGCTTCCCAAACCCCCTTTCTCCCCATACAGCCGGGGCCTGAAAAAATTGATAAAAAAAGACAGTACATTTTTTTCATTTATCATTTTTTACATAAAACTGCCCAAAAACAAAAAAAACCCTTTTTTTTAAAATAGCAAAATTTTTTCAAAAGGGGATTTTTGTTCAAAAAAAAATTTTTGAAAAACAAAATTCCTCCCCCCCTAAATTTAGAAATTTTGGAAAAAGGGCCGCCATTTTTATCCCCCCCACAGAGGGGAGCATAAGCTTTTCCCATTTTGTCCTTTCCGAGTGTAAAGCCCCGTCCGTCCCAGTCCGTGCCGTACGTCCCGAAAATTCTTGTTGAACGCAACTCCTCTTAAAACCGCGGAATGGCAGATTTTGCTTAAACTTACAGGGATAACAACCTTAATGCTGTAAGATGGTACAGTTAAAAGGAAGGGAATTTTTCCGCTGGCGACCAAAATTTAACAGAATTATGGCCCTTTGTTGTTTTTTCATTATATTACTATGTTAGAAATTTTGCTGTGAACGGCAACTCCTCTTAAACCGGATGGCAGATTTTGCTTAAACTTCCAGGGATTAACAAACCTTAATGTGTAGATGATAGTAAAGGTAGGAATTTTTTGCTGCGACCAAATTTAAACAGAATTATGGCCCTTTGTTGATTTTTAGTTTTCAAAACTTGTGGCCACCATGTAGTCCAAAAAATATTTGACCTAGAGTCATAAGATTTGACAGAACAGTGGGTGTGTGGGGGCATCCGTGTCCTATGGACACATTTCTAGTTTCTTTCGACTCGGATAAAAGATGCAAACAGAATTGTAGGCCTAAATACGATAAAAATTCTTACCTTTAATTTTAAACATCGATCCAAAAAAATCCACTTAGAATCACATAAACTAAACTCTAGCTGCAATATTTGGGTCTTGAATTGTCAAATTTAAAAAAAGTTCATCAAAGAAAAAGTCAAATCGGCAATCAACACAAGCTACACAAAACATGCGTCTTATTTTTTTAAACAAAATAATTTTGTTCACTTATTGAATAATAATCCGGCGAAATAAAAGTAAACAGTTTTAAAGTTCTCAAAGAAAATCGTCCAGCCTGTTTTTATGACATTACATGTATAAGTATGACGTGAAACATCGATGATGTCATTTGGCAAATACTAAATTAAATGACGTCACAAAGTGACACTTCATTAGTTGGTGCTAAAACTTATTCGTTATCTTAATTTATTCGTAATTGAAATTGAAATAATTAATAAATAAATATTGCATCTTGATTCAAGACTTGTAAGGGTATGAGATTACATTGTAGAATTCACATGCTGATGAAAATAAGAATATAAGTAATTGAAAAAAGTCCGTTAAAATGGGCGGGGCTTATTTTTGATATCAGGTTACTGACCTGATATCAAAAATAATTATCAGGCAAGTGTTATCGGGCAGTTACCATAGCAGTTGCATGATAAAAGAGTATCATGATGGAGAACTTGTATTTGACTTTTGTGGATTTTTTTAGACCAGATTGTCATAAGACATGGAAATGTCATGTGTGTTAAATTCTAGACATAAAGTCCATGAATTACAGATCAAGATAATCTTACAATGAATGTGTTACTGTTAACCTCCTCATATTTAATCCCAATGCATTCCTATAATGTGGAGGAGGATCACACTCATATAAAATACAGATTTTCTTTTGGTTGTATTTGTGTATGTAATACATGCAATAATCACTCATGAAAATATTGTATCTGGTCCTCCACTCCGTGAAATATATTTCCATCTTGCATACAAAACAAACAAATATCCTCTATATAATTTTACAACAAACTTGTTCATTTGTGTAGTTCTAATGAAGATATTTGTGTAAATCAAAATTCATCCTGTGTAAAATGATAAATGGATATTAAGTTGCACATTTTGTTTTCAGATGGTTGCAATCCACCAGTGTTAGAATCCATACAGAAATTGTACCCTGTAAGTATCATGTAATGTAATTCTGATTACAAAATTGTATTTTTTATTGTTTTTAGTGGGAAAACACACATTTAACCTTCTATATAAGCATGTAACAAACCAGTCGCAATGACTTTTTATTGTATTGAACTGGAATGTTAAATACCAGATATTAAGACAATCTTATTTTCCTAAGGTGTTTGTCATGGTGTTTAAGAGCATACTGTTGAAATTGAATAATTTATAAATCTTAGCACATACCTGAGAGGATGCAAAATTTTAATGACCTTTACAGAATTTAGTACTTTGTGCTACATAAATTAAAAGTTTTGATCTTTCCGCTAAGCTCAATAGTTTGACTAGTATTGTATCTTGTGGTGGTCTTACATCAGAAAAAGCTTTAATGTAAATAAATGATTTCACCAGTGACAGGTTGACTTAAAAACCAGGCATGCAGATGGAAGTGTTTTGTTGTTGTTTTTCAATAAAAGTTGCTTAAATTATGCATGACATTAATGTTTGTATATTACAGGATTTATTTGACTATGGTGATGATATAAGAAACCTCAAAATGAATGTAAGAATCAAGTTTAAGAGTAAAAACTCTCAAAGTCTGGGTGATCTATTCCTGGGTATGCTCAAATATTACAGTGTGGAATTCAGGTGAACTATTCTTACTTTTTAGCTCACCTGAGCATGCTCAGGGTGAGCTTTTAGGATCGATGATTGTCCCATAATTTGTCCGTCGTCCGTCCGTCGTCCGTTCACATTTAGTTGTTAACACTCTAGCGGTCACATTTTTGCCTCAATCATCATCAAACTTGGTCAGGATGCTTATCTAGTTGATAGCTCGGATGAGTTCGAACATGGGTCATCTCGGATGAGAAACTAGGTCACAAGAGCTAAAATAAGAAAAACCTTGTTAACACTCTAGAGGTCACATTTTTGCCTCAATCATCATCAAACTTGGTCAGGATGTTTGTCTAGGTGATAGCTCGGATAAGTTCGAACATGGGTCATCTCGGATGAAAAAAAGTAGGTCACCAGAGCTAAAAAAATAGAAAAAACCTTGTTAACACTCTAGCGGTCACATTTTTGCATCAAATCATCATCAAACTTGGTCAGGATGCTTATCTAGTTGATAGCTCGGATGAGTTCGAACATGGGTCATCTCGGATGAAAAAGTAGGTCACTGGAGCTAAAAATAGAAAAACCTTGTTAACACTCTAGCGGTCACATTTTTGCATCAATCATCATCAAACTTGGTCAAGATGCTTGTCTAGGTGATAGCTCGGATGAGTTCGAACATGGGTCATCTCGGATGAAAAAGTAGGTCACAGAGCTAAAAATAGAAAAACCTTGTTAACACTCTAGCGGTCACATTTTTGCATCAATCATCATCAAACTTGGTCAGGATGCTTATCTAGTTAATAGCTCGGATGAGTTCGAACATGGGTCATCTCGGATGAAAAAGTAGGTCACCGGAGCTAAAAATAGAAAAACCTTGTTTTTGCATCAGTCATCATCAAACTTGGTCAAGATGCTTGTCTAGGTGAAAGCTCGCATGAGTTCGAACATGGGTCATAACGGATGAAAAACTAGGTCACCGGAGCTAAAAAAAGAAAAACCATGTTAACACTCTAGAGGTCACAATTTTGCCTCAATCATCATCAAACTTGGTCAGGATGTTTGTCTAGGGTGATAGCTCGGATAAGTTCGAATATGGGTCATCTCGGATGAAAAAGTAAGTCACCGGAGCTAAAAATAGAAAAACCTTGTTAACACTCTGCGGTTTCACATTTTTTGCATCAATCATCATCAAACTTGATTTTCAAGATGCTTGTCTAGGTGATAGCTCGGATGAGTTTGAACATGGGTCATCTCGGATGAAAAAAAACTAGGTCACAGGAGCTAAAAAATAGAAAACCTTGTTAACACTCTAGAGGTCACAATTTTGACTTTAATTGTCATCAAACTTGGTCAGGAAAACTTGTCTAGGTCATTGCTGGGAATAAATCGAACATGGGTTCATCTCGGATGAAAAACTAGGTCCAGGAGCTAAAAATAGAAAAATCTTGTTAACACTCTAGTGGCTACTGTTGTGATCCAAATATTCTGTTAATTGGTCTGAAAAGTTTGTTTTGATGATTTCTAAGTCAAGTTCGAAACAATTGGGTCATTCTTGGATTGAAAAACTAGGTCACACCCGCCCAAATATGGAAAAATCTTGTTTAACATTCTAGTGTCAACATTTTCGACTCAATTATCATCAAACTTGGTCAGGATGCTTGTCTAGGTAATTGCTTGGATTGAGTTAGAAATCGCATGTGAAACTAGGTCACCGGAGCTAAAAATAGAAAAATCTTGTTAACACTCTAGTTGCTACTGTTTAGATCAAGTATCCTGGAAATTGGTCTGAAAGTTTGTTTTGATGATTTCTTAGGTCAAGTTTTTGAATATGTGTCACCTGGGTAAAAAAAACTAGGGTCGCACTGCTCAAATATGGATAATTTCTTGTTAACACTGTAGTGGTCACATTTTTGACTCACCTGTCATTGAGACTTGGTCAGAACGGTTGTCTAGGTAATTGTTTGGATGAGTTTGATAAGTCAGGTGAGCGATCTAGGGCCATCATGGCCCTCTTGTTTCATGAAAAATACATCCCAGTGTTGAATAAATTTCTTTTTATACCCTAAGAAGGTAAGGATGGTGTGTGGGGTGGGGTTAGGATGGTATATAACACAGTTTTTATAGAAAAATTATATTTTACTAGTTTAAACTTTTTTTATGAAAAATACACAAAACCTATCAAAATTAAAAGTAGTTGGCGCTTCTGCATCATGTATGATATTGGGCATTATAACATACATAAAATTACAGATTAAGAAACTGTTACTGATAATTATCCTAGGTGTGAGTATAATATTGACAGTGGCATTAAAAGGGGAGCAGTGACTTAGTCGTTAAGGTGTCTGCCTCTCAACTGATGGATCATGAGTTGGAGCCCTACTTGGTCACAAATTATGATTCCTGATATGACACCAGTACTGGTTAGTTCCAGGAAGGGGACTTGAAAGTGATAAATACAAGTTGCAACACCTTGTTTTGCATCAAGCTTAAATTAATATGTTTAAACTAAGTGGGCATCTGTCATACTGCATACAGTCATACCATGTACAAGTTAGATTTATATAGAAGTAATATAAATGCTTTCTTTAGTATTAAATTGTTAACATTTTAGTTTTGATGATGATGTGATAAGTGTGAGACACAGGGAACTAAACTACCATTACATTTGTGTAGCAATCATGGGACACCACTATCAGAGAAGAACATGTGGAAATGTCTAAAAATCGAAGGTTTGTGCTGCGTTGTCAATAAAAAATTTCTGAGAAGTCCATTTTTGAATTTTAAGTGATTATTTGTATCACATACAACATAGTTTTGAGGCATTTTAGGTAGTCATTTTGGCCTAGACAATCCGTTTGTAGTCTTAGATCTTATGATGGAAACAATAGCATGTGAACTAAAATAATGATCTCATTTATAACATGCACATTATAAGAGTTAAAGTAGCATACCGCATGATTCATGCTTACGTTCATTAAAAATTTTGAAAACATATTTAAAAAAGTTAAATATTGTGAAGTGAAACAAAGATAGTTATTTACACATTACAAACAGCACTTCCAATCCATATAAATTACCTAAAAGATGTCAGAATATGCAAAAATAGCTGTTACTGCCTGAATCAAGCAGTAGAATTATGGTGATAATTACCGCAAATCAGTCATCAATGTCACAAGTAAATTATTACTTGAATTTAAATCTATTTTACTTTTCTTTGCCAGTCACACACATTTTATTTGCCAGTGTAACTGTTCATATTTTTTTTTTCACTGCAAATATACAGTAAACTTCACTTATAGCGAACACGGTTACAGCGAACTTCCGGTTATAGGGAACAATTTTTTTTGGCCCGAATTTTTGCCCTTCTTTATTTAATATAAAAATATATTGTTATAGCGAACACGGTTATAAGGAAATTATCGCTTAAAAGGAACTCATTTCTTAGTCCCAATTTAGTTAATAGTACAGAAAATTACACTTTTATAACGAACTCCGAAAATATTGGCTATACCATCCATAAATAGATCCCGCATTTTCAACGCACGGATTTAAAAAATCGGGCGAATGTACCGTTTATCGTTGTATGCACTTCAATACATCTATTCAAATGAATTTGTATAGTTTTCTATTTAGGATATTTTTAGCATGGAGCTCTTTTTCACCAAGATAAAACGGTTATTTATTTATTTTCTTCAATAGTTTTGCTTGAGTAAAATAATTATAATAATTTATAATCGGTTTTCAACATAATCATGCATGCTTGCAAGCATGATCCATTGCAAACTGCAAAGTACGCTTTGATTTAAATGAAAAAGAAATCTATATCTTACATTAGTAAAAGTCACCTTTAAATTATAATAGAAGATATTCAATATAAAAAGGAAGGAAAAATCGAAATCTTGTTTTATTCTTAATCATGGAAAGAAAACGAAAAGAGTTTAGAAAACAAAATATTATATTTTATGTGAAATTGATATAGGGAGTAAAAACTAAAACTGAAAAGCAATGATTTTCAAATTCCAAAAAGTACGCTCTTGGGTATTGTGTCTAAAATATAAATAAAATGACTAATATTTCTATTTCTTAATCAAATGCTCTTCAAAAATGGCGGACAATGGTAAACAATCAGTTTGTTATATGTAAATATGTTCGCTATAAAAACTCCTGATACAAGGAACTAATTCGCTATATGCTTACAAGGAACTCCGGATATAAGGAACAGGTTTTGAATGTCCCAGTGAGTTCGTTATAAGCGGAGTTTACTGGATTAATTCAATTGAATATTTTTTATTTATTGGCGATGATAACAGGTTATACCATCAGAATAGATAGATATATATCTAATGGTGCCATTTCAATATCCATAAAATTTCTTTTAGTCTTATAAAACTCAAGAAATCAGGACAAGCTACAGTTGACTCTCAATAAGTCAAAATCGCTTTACTCAAAATTCCGCGTAAGTCGAAGTATTTCTAAAGTCCCGTCAAAATTCCTTCTTTATCTTTGTATTTTAACTCCGCTTAGGTCAAATTTTGACTTACCGAGACTCCTGTTTAGTCGAAAAGAAAATTTGGTCCCGTCAATTAAAGTCCAACATATTTTCATCTCAATTAGTCGAATTGTGAAAAACAGCAGACTGATCAAAGGTCGGCAAACATCAAGGTGAGATGTTGTCTCTTGTGATTCACACGTTCCATTAGAAATTTTTTAAAATGTCGGTCATCATGTATTATTTTACAAGTCGTAAAAGTGGCTTTAATTGGTTTCAAGACTTAATTGGTTTTGACAGTTAGATAACAAAATTAAGACTCGTGCCAGTCTGACAGGTGTTAGTAAAAAAGATCAGCCTAGGTATTGATGTGTGTTATCAACGTAAATGACATTTGTATACTTAATGTTCCGTCATATTGCATACATTAAATATGTAAGTACTTCCGGTTCACGATAGTTGCTACTTTCGTTTTTCGTCCGATGATCAATTCACTTCAAATATTAGATAAATTGGTGTTGAAATAAAAGTGTTATTGTGCTTTTATTGTAATGATATGTCATGAGTCTCAATTAGTCGAATTGTGAAAACAGCAGACTGATCAAAGGTCGGCAACATCAAGGTGAGATGTTGTCTCTTGTGATTCACACGTTCCATAGAAATTTTAAATGTCGGTCATCATGTATTATTTACAAGTCGTAAAAGTGGCTTTAATTGGTTTCAAGACTTAATTGGTTTTGACAGTTAGATAACAAAATTAAGACTCGTGCCAGTCTGACAGGTGTTAGTAAAAAAACAGCCTAGGTATTGATGTGTGTTATCAACGTAAATGACATTTGTATACTTAATGTTCCGTCATATTGCATACATTAATATGTACTTCCGGTTCACGATAGTTGCTACTTTCGTTTTTCGTCCGATGATCAATTCACTTCAAATATTAGATAAATTGGTGTTGAAATAAAAGTGTTATTGTGCTTTTATTGTAATGATATGTCATGAGTGTTTATTATAATCGTGTGCTTTACTGATGAATACAGACAAACTTGCATTTATGTCATTTCTACGAATGTTTGTGTTTATGTTTCACTATTAATATACATGTATTAAATTATATATTTTTGTTCATAATTTGTAGTTGAAAGTGATTTACCGTCATTTCAACGGTTAAATATTGTAGCATTGCCGCTATCAACAATGATAAACCTACTTCTTTGTACATTCAATCAGGCACATGTATATACATGTACGAATGTCAACGAAATGGCGGCAGATCCACCTTACTCGAATTCCGTTTCTCTCGAAGTAAAATGCCCAGTCCCTTGGATTTCGAGTTACCGAGAGTCAACTGTAGTTTTTTTTACAGAGAACAAGCCATGTTTGTCAGGAATCTAGAATGACTAGTCATCTTTCTATCCACCCAGAATAAACTGAAAAATCATTAAAACTAAATATTGTACATATCTGTGTAAATGAAAAGCAGCTTCAAATGAAAGTTTTATTTCAATACTGTATGATGGAGAAACAATGTATTATTTTACTCCAATCTTTGTTCATTTTGTATTCTTCATTTTCATGTAGTTATCCTGTGATAAAAAATGATACCGTGTTTACATAATTCTTTTTTTTCTTCACAGAACCTTTTGATAAAAGCAATACAGCTCGGTCATGTTTTGATGAGAGGACTTTTGCTAGAGTGATGCATGTATTTGCCAGGAGTTACCGTCAGTTGGCTCGAACACATGACCTGGAATCAATCCTCTCAACTCCATACTGATATGCCTGGAATTCTTTTCTAGAAGCACAAGAAATTCTTGGCCAAACAACACACTAACATGCCACTGGATTGGTTATGCTGCAAAATGAAGGGGAAGGAATTATTGATATTCCTTACCTTTACAATAGTGTTAACTGTTTATAGAGGGTTATAAATGAGAGACAATTCTGCTCCATTGCAATGGAAAGATTAGTCAATGAGAAAGCTATGGAAGTTTTAAATGGATTGATTGCATTATATCTTATTGCATTATAATTCCTCAAGGAAAGTAGAACAGTGAAGCTGTGATGATACTGGATTCTACTGTAATCAAATGTTTCCATGATAAACCTTTCTAGACATTTCCAACAGCTAATTGAAAGATGATTTGCTACTTGGATAAACAAGAACAATTCACTACATATTGATATTGAGAGTGAAAAGTTTCATGTGCTCAGAAGGGATGTTATATATTATCATTATCTGTTTTACTAACTATATTGTTTTTTAAGCTTACCTGAGCTGGCCAAGTGTGAGCTCATAGGATTGTTTAATGTCCATTGTCCTTCCACATTTAGTGCATTAACACTGTTGAGATCACATTTTAACTTAAATTGTCAAAAACCTTGGTCAGGGTATTTGTCCCAGTAATTGCTCGGATGAGTTTGTTCATCTCGGATGAAAAACTTACATCACAGCCGAAAGAAGAAAAATCATGTTAACTCTAAAGGCTACTGTTTCAGTTTAAATGTCCTGGAAATGGGTCAGAAAGATTGTTTCGATAATTTTTAGGTCAAATTCAAATATAGGTCTTATGGAATCAAAAACTAGGTCACAGACTAGGTATGGAAAAACTTTGTTTCAATAAATTATCATGATTTCTATGATATTCAATAAAACATTATCATCACATCTTATATCATTGCAATTATCAATTATTGACCATCATCATCAATTTAATCATCATCATCATTATCTTATCTTCAATAACATGTATATACATTATTTATGATATTCATTACTATTATAATGATAAATATGATCATCATTTCTAACAACATCAATTTAATTATCCCTATTTTTATAAGAATTTTTTTTGCTGTCATCATCACTATCATCATCAATTTTATCATTGTCATCATTTATCTCATCTTCAATAATATAACCCTCATTTATATGTTAATCAGTACTTATAATGATGAAAAGAACTCCACCGAGGTATTAAAGCCTTTAACATGAAATTTGAATGTCTTGATTATAACAGATTAGGCACTTAAAACAGGAAGTTTTTCTAAAGATAATTAAGAAATATACTCAGAAATTAATTGAAAATTTATTTTTGTGCTACTCTTATCCTGATTTGGATGAAAAGCATTTTTCACAAGTAGAATAATAATTCTTGAAAAACTAGAGTGAGT